GCCATTCTCTGCTCCAGCCTGGGGAGCAGGCCAGGCCATTTCAGCTAGACGAGGCGGGGAGCGGCCGCTTGGAAGCGACGCATGAAACCTCCGTGCCCGGCTTACAGCAGACAATCCAGCCCAGTGAAGATACAGCCTGGGCCGGGCATGCCCCAAGGTGACAGGCGGAGCGTCCGTATGCAGCTGGACTAAGGCAGGGAGTCAGTCGGCCCCCGCAGCGGGCTCGGCGTCTAGGTGCTGCTTAGGAAGAGGTGACGGGCGCGTTGCACAGCGCTATGGCGGGGGCCTGCACAGGCAGGCCCCGCCGGGGGGCCGCATCGGGCGCTAGCTCCTAGGGACGGGGATGGGCTGAGTAGCAGCGTGCTCGTTACCAGTGGGGGAAAGGGACCTGCTGGAGCGAGCCCAGCGTGGGGAGGGGTTTGCTGCGCGGCACTCGTCTGGGGCAGCCCAGGTGCAGGGGGCGCTCCAGGGGGCCGGCCCAGGGCAGCACGGCAAATGACTCGTTAGCAAAGGGGAATTAGGCCAAGACTCACACGGCGACTAGGGAACTGGCTAAAGGGAAGGCGAGTGGCCGCTCCGACAAGGGAGGGCCCTCGAGCAGGGCGTATCCCGTGCTGCTAACGCCGCTGCCCTTGGCACAACGCGCGTCCCCTGGGGAGGAAATTCACCCCTGCAAAAGTTCCAGCGCAGGCTCTGTGGGCTGCACACGAGCCTCTGCTGCGAGCGGGAGGTGACGGGGAGAGGTGCCTGGGTGGACGTGACGTGCTAGGAGGTGTCAGGCCAGGTGTCCCCGGAGCCGCCGTCCAAGGCCCCACGAGGCCACCGGGTGCATGCTCAAGGAAGAGGAATTCGGACGGGGAGAGGTGCAGAGAGCTGGGCCAGCCGGGGGCGGGGGAATAGCTGATGCGAGCGGACTGCCAGCGCCCGTTGGTTTAGATCCCTCCGGCTGCAGAGGAGTGAGGCGCTGGGCTGGGGGCCAGCAGCGGAAGGCGGTCACCGGGTGCTTGTGCCAGTTGTGCAGAAGTAAGCAGGGGGCTCCCAGAACCAGGTAATCGCACAACAAAACAGCAGCTGCAAGTCAATGTTTGAACTCTAGGACTGC